ATATATATATAAATATATATATATATATATATATATATATATATATATAATTTGTTTTGATAATTAGGAATGGTTCACCGTACCTTCGCCCCAACTACATCCAATCTGAACAGGTGAACCGCCTTACTGCATCCCACCTCTCCAATGAACGCTCGAACACGGGACCTGGAATAGGCATCCCGAACCTTGCCCGCTACATCATGGAGCTATACCCGATTGGGTTATATTTCGAAATATATTTGATTCAGCAATCTGTTTTGAATGGGAATCAAACGATTTTTTGTGGAGTTGCCATCTCTTCACATTTAATTTAAAAGAAAAGTACTTAACCGACTTTTTAAATTAACTTGGTTAAATGGATTCGCGTTATAAATTATATAATTTGTTTTGGTTAAATATAAATCATATAATTAAAAGCAAGATAACATCATCAATTAGTCTAATAAGCTAAGGCTGAATCCAAAATTATTGAAAGTGACAGCCCATAAACCGGCCCCCTCTCAAATCTTATTGGTTCTTTCAAAAGCAAATAATTTTTTTGGATATCGAAAGAATACGAGAGATGTGAATATTTCATATGCCATTGGACTTGGGACATTAACTCTTGCGACAGCAACGTTCTTGTCATATCTTGTAGGTTATATATATATATATATATATAAACCCATCATTAAAATAGTGTTAGTGGTACATTAATTAGACCGAATCCAACATCTTCCAAGACATCTAGAGAGATCGATTGTTTTTATCTTTAACCCTTACTTTTGAAGCTATTAAATGGAGAAAATGAAAGGTCTTGGAGTAAATTTTGTCAAAGTAATATTTAGTTACATCAGCAAACACAATGAGAATGCAGACATATATTTTTTTTTTAAAAAAAAAGAGAAACCAAGCCCAAACCAAATTAAACCGGATAACTACAATATTCAAACTAAATTGTGCATAACCGGTTACATAATATAATACTTCCCAAATTGAAAACTACCCGAGTGTATTCCTCTCTACTTGATGGTATCTTTTCCTCCATGGTGTTTACATTGTTGGAATACCGACCCGGTTAGTCCCATGATTATTAACCGGAAATAACCTAATCTAAAACTTTTGAGTCTGTTAGAGGGTTGCTTGATAAAGGAGAATAAATTCAATGGACTGCATTATATGAAACAGAAAAAAAATCTGGATTTTTCTAATTAATGTTTTTATATGGAAGATATTTGTTTTTTTTTTTAATAAATGTTGTTGCGAGAGCCGATTATTTCTTCGGATGAGCACCAATCAACTTTCAGAATTGGGAGAATGGTCCGACAAAAAATGGATATTTCAACACGATGAAATTTAAGAGACCAGTTTCGTTTGATGTTGATATAAAATTTAAACATTAACTTCTGAATAACAACAAAATTATAAAAATCGATTATATAATTGCACCTAATAATTGCTCATCTACTTAGAACGGCCACACACACACACACATATATATATATATATATATGTATATTCAGAATTTTCCATAGTAATAACTAATAAGATATGATAAAAAGTCCACCTACTGCCATAGAATTGATATCGAAAAATTATCTGGCTAAAAAATTATTATAACTATGGTCATTCTCATTGCATTCCATATACTGGATTTCGATTCTATTATTTTGTGTTTGAATTTTAAAATTTTAGAAAAAAATGTATAACAGTTTATTTGAATATTTGATTTCAATTTTAAAAAAAATATTTATTTTAAAAAACTAATTTTATTTTTTAAAACGAATTTTCGGTTTTTAAATTTTATTTTATATTTGACTTAAATTACATTATTTTGTTTTTAATAAAAATCATAGTCACTAATTTTTAGATGAATTTTATTTAGATATAATTAAATATTATTTGATAAAATTCGATTATATATATTAAAACCGAAATAAAATATCAAACCCATCATTCCCACCATCACACATGATTCCATCAAATCGAATTTCCTTGTGTCCCCTCAGTTTCCAAACTAGGAAAGTGTGGTTTTAACCTTTATGTGGTGTAATGTATTATTATATGATTCCACGATTTGTAAAGTAATAACTATTAATTATCATTACTACTATTATTATGATTAAATCGATTAAAACCGAGCTTAAAATACAAAATTGGTTAAATTTAACTACAAAATTGAAAAATCGGTGATCGGTGCCTAGAAAAGTATATAATCTTTGTTATAACATAAAACAACGGTTGTCCTTCGGATATGGTGTAATGGTAAAAGAATTCATAATTTTCTAAGAGATCATGGAAACAAATCTGTTATCTTTTAATGGTTTATATGTTTCACATGATTTACAAACTATTATATAAAATCGGAAGGTTTATCACTGTCTTCGAAAGACTGTAGTCAAGTTCCCGTCGTTAAAAAAAACATAAAACAACTATAGAATGAGACGTTCAACCATTTTTTTTTAAAACGGAACCAAAACGAATATAAATTTATTGAACCTAATTTAGAATACCCAATTCTCTTAATTCAGCCATAAAACTAAAACGTGAAAATAATTATAAGATCATGTGATTACAAATATAGAATAACGTTCATACAATGAGAGAAGGTGCCCGGCGACAGAGGTATCATTTATTTGGCCACCACCGACGAATCCGTACTTCATTGCTCATGAAAACTTTTTATGTGGATCAGAAAATTTGATCGGTAAAAAATTACGGAAATAAAATAATTTTCAATGAAACAAGCAAATTCAGTGGTACGGATCTTACCAGAATCACACAAGGACGCATAGCTTTCACCTCCCGTGCACTTATTTACCAACCCCATCAAATCTAGAACTTCCTAAAACCGGTCCAAACCGGACATGACCGGTTTGTTTTGGTTTTTCTAAAACCGGCTTTTCGTGCATAATCTATGGTCGGAATCTTAATTTTTGGAATCTAGCGCCCTATTTCGATTGGAATCTGATCTTGTCTTGTTTGTTTAGATTGTTCGAGATGGAATATATAAGAACATATATTCTTCATGATATGTTCATATCACACATTATGTACACTGTGATACAGTAACTCATATTTGTATTGATGATAGATATAGTGTCAGTAAAAGCAAGATCACATTATGGTTTTGGCAATCCTTTTTTTTATTGTTTTGAAAGAAAAAAAACATTATATAAGTAATGAATATTATATATATATATATATATATATATGAAATATTTAAGACCTCATATAATGGGTGAGTACGGCCATAAAAGCGTACTCTTGGAATGATGTCACTTGAGGTGGAGAGTGTTCCACTAGCTAGCGATTTTTATTTTTATTTTTATTTTGTAAGAATTTACTTATAATTAGAATTAGAGGAGGTATTTTAGATTTTAGTTTATTATTTGTTTTCTGTTTTTTAAAATTATTATTGATTTTGTTTCTATCGAATTATTACAATTCATTTTACACTAAAAAAATATTTTCAATTCAGTTTTTTAGTTTTCATATATTGTTTTCGAATTCATTTAAATTGGTCGCATTCAATGAATTGTATAGAGAAAGATATTATTTATTTTCATTCGATTGATTATATATACCGAACTAAAATATCCCCTCTTGCAACTTGGAAAGTTATTGGAAAACTTTAGTTCCATAGAAAAATTCCTTTCGCGTGATCTAAAAAATATCATGTGTGAACATGTTAGAGTTAATTATTAGGACCACATTATTATATTTTATTTATATAAAAACCAGATAATTTATACCGAAATTATATATATATATATATATATATATAAGATACGGAAATCATATAAAAGTATTGAAATTTTAAATGACTTCGAAACAATCATCTCTCCAAGTAGTAATATAAATAAAATGAGTTCAACTAAAACCAGGAAATATTTTCACTTACAAGAATTTAAATAAATTGATACAAACAAATAATTCAATATATATATATATACGGATAGAGTGGATTGACATGTGGTGGAGGGTATAGTAATAAGCCTTGTGGTGATGTTTCAACAAAAATCCCCCGACAGTTTAGGCAAAGCCTATACTATTTTTAGAAATTCAACTTCACCACGGTAACCGTCCAATGCGTATAAACAATACGATAGAGATACGACATAGTCACCCACCTACTGCCACCTGTCTCCTAAAATCGACCCATATGCAGGGGCTGGTAATTTCGGTATCAATAAAATAGAATTTAACCGAATAAAAAAATATATCTGAAATTAAATTCAATTCAATGTTATTTTGGCCATAACAGTGTTTTTTTGGATAGTTAATTAGGGTTGTATAAAAGGTCAAGATTTTTTTTCTTTTGTTACAAAAATCACATGCTCATTCTCATGCATGACCATGCATACGTACGTCCATCGTACGGATTCATCAGCTCGAAACTTATCATTCAGGATAATTACTTGGCAGTATGTCGGAATGGGAGTCGTAGAAATCGGTCGGACGAGGAGTCGTTACTTCTTGCTCAAGCAACTGCACCGCCTCGTTCATGGTCGGGAACGGTCCTCTGGGTCACCGTCCGTACGCCTCGCCGCCATTTCAACCACAGCATCCACTGTTTCCGCATCGGCGTCCGTACACATCTCTTGTCCACTAACTCCTCTGTCCTGTTTTCTTTCAGTAGAGTGTTCATCTGAAAATTCACATTTACGTCAAAATGTCTGATGGAAAAACGATTCCTTCATAAGAAAAGTGAGATTGATCCCGAGAAATCGTGTTCGTACCCATCGGACAACATTTATACCTTGTTTTACGAATATCGGATCTTTTTCCGGTGACATGCTCGAGCAGAAGAACACCGAATCTATAGACGCCGGATTTCTCGGTTGCTCTCCCGGTAATTTGTGATACTCTGTTTCAAGGTATCATCATACGTACATGAACATAAAACGTTGTGTAGATGTAATGATCCTCAAGACTCAAAATCAATCCAGTGTTCCACAGGACTTGAATTCCATCAAAGTGAATCGATAGAACCTTTCTTGTTCTTGTATATGTTTTCATCAGTATAGATAAATAGCAGCATTATGTATGTATGTATGTATGTATGTATGTATATATGCGCAAGCAGGAGAAGGCTACAACGGACCTGGGGCCAAATAGTCGAAGGTGCCAGTAACGACGGTGGTGACATGAGCCTCTTCGTCAACCAGAAGTTTTGCGAGACCAAAGTCAGAGACAGACATGAGGCTCCAACTTGTCATCGAGTAGGATGTTACTTGATTTTATGTCTCGGTGAACTATCTTGGGACTACAGTCATGATGCAAGTACGCTTTCCCCCGAGCAGAACCCAGTGCTATTCTCCAACGGGCACTACAATTCAACGTCCGATCTTCTTGGGCTCGTACTACAAATATACATAAATTAGAAACAAGAACGATAACACAAGAACATACGCAAGAAAAGACGATTATCTGCATGACTTTATGAGTTTTAAGTACATACCACCGTGAAGAAGATCGTCCAAGCTGCCAATGGTGAGATAGTCATACATGAGAAGCCTTGAAGAAGGAAGGCGGGAATATCCTCGTAAGTTAACCAAATTCATGTGCTTGACAATACCTAGTATCTCCACTTCTCCCTCAAACACTTGGTCAGATCCTTCACGACTCCGATCTATTATCTTCACGGCAAAGGTTCCACAATCGTTCATTACCATGCGGTAGACTTTACCAAATCCTCCGGAACCCACGATATTTTCCTCGTTAAGAGACTCCAGCTTCTCTATGAGCTTGCCAGAGGAGTAGGGAAGATCGCAGTGGAAAGTTATAAGCTTTGTACCTTTCAGAACAATGGAAGATTCTTGAGGGTATGAAGAAGCAAAAATGCAGTAAGAGCCCATATAATGAAGCAAGAAAACTAAAAAAGAACTAATGCAAGTTTCTCATGTAAAGAAGTTACTAGCAAACAGAACCCATGAAAAAGTTTTGTAGCATGCAAAGTTTCTATCTTTTTAACAGGGTAGCAGGATTCACACACACATATGCAATATATTGTTCTTTTAGTGGGATGAATATACGGGCTTACTGGTTTCAAGAGGCTCCTTTTGCACCAAGTGTGATGATCAATTTTGGGGGCCTATATGATTCTCAAGTGAGAGATTAAGAATTGGGAATACCTGTAAGCAACTGAAAAGCGAATACAAGCCATAATGGGCATGATATTGCCTGCTGCATCGTCGCTTCTGCATGAGGAAGAACAACTTGGGATCCCATTCATGTTCTACACGGCTTGTGAAGTTGTCGACCACAAAGGACCAAATTGCCAATGAATCTAACCACAAAGAAAAGCAGCATTCAGAATGTTATCCTTCATGTTAATGCCGATATAATCTAAGGAAGGAAAAGCTCACGATTCAGCGCCAAACTCACTAAGAACTCCGAAATCTGGGACCTCGCCATTGGTTGACAAGTTCCCGAAACAAAAGAACAAAGTATTAGCAGAGAAATCTGATAAGTACTACAGAAGGATTAGGGGCAAAGGTATGCAGCTAGTGTGGTGGTTGTTTGTGTGTGTAGATAGCATATAGGTGTTGACATTTGTTTGGCTGTTTTGTTAGTTGTTTCCTTAGGGTTGGTAGTAGTTAGAGGATTCTGTTAGGGAGGGGATTGTATAAAGAAAGGAGGAGGAGGGGGAAAGGGAAGGGGATTTTCTGGTGGAGAACTGGGTGGGGAAGAGAGTAGGAGCCTCTCTCTAATCAAAGCTATCCGAAGTGTATGGTTTGGGTGTTCAATAAAGCTGCTGGAGTTTCTCTAAGGAGTGGTTCGAGCATCAGAACCTTAACAAAATCTTCCAAATTGTTCAATGCTAAATCTCCAAGATCAGCAGACAAAACATAGTCTGATTTTACTTAAAGGGAGCCATAACCGTGACAGTCGGGTAGGAGAAGAAGGAATTGCACCCTTCAGAGTATTGCTTGATATATCCCTGAATACCAAGAATCCCCATTATACATCAGAAGATGTTAAAAGAAAAATCCTCGGCGACGAACAAGGAAAACAATATGAATCTTACAATATAGCAAGAGAAGTAAGGTTTTCAATATCTGATGGAATGCCTCCCTGCAGACAGAACGGTAAGCTTCATATTGTAAATGCAAATGAAAAACCAAGGAACATTTGCAAACATACACAAATACCAACAAATTATAGCACGTTCGAATCAAAACTCCTAAAAACTTTTTGAGATAATCTACATTGAAGATGGACATCGAAACCAGACACAACAGAAGTGATGATCAACTTCAGATAACCCATAAGACAGCTACAAACTTAGAGGTAAAGTTACTTCCATGAGTAATCCTACTTACAGAGCTCTGCGCTCAGTTCTATGTGAGATCTCATCAGGAAAGAACATACATGGATTGGAGACGACTCTGTGGTCGTGAGGCTGACAAGAGATTCCAGTCCATGAACATGGAGATTCATCGGAATCTCTCCAGTTTTCAAGAAGATTCCTACTATCATTCAGCGCGATCTTCAACTCCAACAACGCTTGCCCTGCAACATAAACGGGAACTTAAGCCCTAATTCTCTGAGATCAGAAATCAAACAGCGGCTAATGCTTTGTCGTATCGGAAACAACACCCTAACTGTTGGGCATTGGTTCTTCCATTTTGGTGCCGACCAAAACAGCAACAGGGAAAGAAGACGAACCATCTGGAGTGAGGGCAAATGAGCAAGAAACGAAAAGGGCAACAGCGGAAATCGCAGAGAAAGCCCAATTCGAAATCACCATTTTCCAATTCCTCAGATTTCAAACAAATGATTTTCTGGTTTCTTCAAATTTGAAATCACCATTTTTTTTTGTATTTAAATATTTTTTAATTACAAAATTGCATTTGATTTAAAAATTTCTAACTCTTGTTATTGCGGAAAAAACACAATCAGTTGCAATCATTCTATTTGAGGATTACTTTACCATATAGCGGGGATAATAAAAATTTTAATTACTAATAGTAAACTAGGAACGGTTTTTAATTAAAAATTGGAAATGAAAATATTTAGTGTCTATTCATTTATTTTGACATAATGAAGTTTATGTTTATTTACTGAATTTGTTTTTCGTATTGATCTATTGAAGACGTAATCAAATCTTTTCACAAATTTCAAAACTATACGTATATATAAATGAACACATTCATATTATTAAATATTATATTCCAAAATGGAAACCATTGAACTATTTATTGGACAAAGGCTTTCTGTTTGGGCTTTCCGTTAGATGGTTAATGCTGGGCCGACCATGCTTCACAACAAAAAGGCGTATTAACCGGTTTGTCCGGTTAAGATGGAAATGGTTGATTTTACATTTATCGGTTCGGTTTAATGTCAGTGAAACCGGTTCTGTTATGTTTGGTTAAAACTCTGATTAATAATATATATATTTAGTATAAATAGACCGTAAATTTCATTATCCTAATGTTTGAAATCCAAAATAAGTGATTTCATGTAATGGTTAAATTAAAAGATCAAATGCCGGTCGAAATTCTCTTTCAATGGAGTTGGAGTGATAAAACAAAAGTTGTGTTCCTTATTTGGTCATAATGTATTAGGACTCATTTCTAACGTTTTATGTGTTTGGTCACGCAAAACGCATTATCCTCACCTACCATTTGGACATATATGTATCATGAAAAATCTTGTTTTAGTTCACTATAATATATTTTAATTAGTTTTAATCATTTTTTTAATATATTTTATAGAAACAATCAGTTCTAATAAATGTTTTTTTATAACAATTATAATATATTTTGGTTTTAGCTGTTAAAAATAAATATTTTAATTTATTTAATAATAATAAAGATAATTAATAATAACAAAAGTTGTTACAGTTTATAATTAATTTTAATTATTTTCTATTATTAATAATTAATAATATTAATAAAGGGCCCCATAAATTTTGGGGACCCTGTTCCATCGCACCTTTTGAACATGCTAATAGACGGCTCTATATATATATATATATATAGTGGCAGACCTATTAAGTATTCAAAGGAGGCACACGCCCCCATATAATCAATAAAAAAAGTTTAATTTCTTCATAAATTTTATACAATTACAAAACAATATTGATAAATACACTTGTTCATATAAAATTATATATATATATATATATATATATTATTGTCCCCATATAAAAATAGTTTTTGATCCGCCACTATATATATATATTAAAGAAGTCTATAAAGACGGTAAGATAGAAGAACAAAATGCTCTTGCACCTGAATTCGAATTCGAATTCGAATTCTATGGAGACTATAAAACAATCGAAATGTGTATATATATTTTTTCAAAATAATAGTTTTCTGTTTGCAGAAAAAAAAAACAATGAAAATTCTTAATAAGTTGTCTTTAAGCAGAAAGATTCTGATGGAAAATATAAGTGAAAGAGAAAGATGAGATGTAGGTTAAATTCTTGGAGACCAAAAGAGGTGAATTAGGGAGCTCACTACATTAATGTGTCACGTCTCTTTTTTTTTTTGGGCCATTTTTTAGATTCCATTTCGTTTTCTCCATTAAATATGATCTCTTTCATTGACATCTAATTTATTTTTTTATTTTTATAAAAAAGAAAACAGATAGAAAAAGATTTACCATATTTTTTTCTTGGATGTATCGGAATCATGTTTTCGGTTCTTATCCAATTCTCGATATCAAAAACGAAAGATACGTTTGTTCCAACCGAGATTAAAAAAATCATTGCAGGTATGGTGCAGATCCATTTGTTTATTTTAAAGATATTATTTATATTTTTCCTTTATTTCGGATAATTCTTTTATTTACTTGATTTTGTAGGTCCAAATAAATCAATCTTTGAATTAATAAATAAAATCTGTTTTTGCATAACATAGCTATTATAAAGGACTATTTATCAAATCAAATAGTTCAAATTTGTAGGTTTTGAAGAGAATAAAAAAAAAATCTAAACTTGAAAGTACAATAAAACCAAGCCGAAATTATATAATCATATGTAAATCAAACTAAACCCAATATTCAAACCTATAAATACCAATATATATATATATATAAAATAAGGTATTGGTTTAAATTTTTTTAATATATTTCGAAGAGAACTCCGGTATAAACATTATAAAAGTGATTTTTTAGACTTTATGTTCTATTAGAAAATGTGAAATTTTTATGTAATTTTTAACATTTACATCATGATAGAAATTATATTTTTAGAAAGCTCGTACCAAATATGATATTTCTATTTTTTTTATATGTAGAAAAAATTGGTGGGCATAGAAGAAGACTTTCGAATCGTGAGTGCCAACGGCTTTTTTCCATCGTCTAAGTAATGATGATTTGGAATGGACTTCCGCCATTATCTATTCTCAAGCCATTTTGTTTCATGCACGCTTGCCTTTAAAATTTAAAATATGTTTAAAAAAAATCGCAATTATGAAAATGATATATCTATTTTTTTCTCTAATACTTTTTATTAACGTTGACCGGTATATGTAATTTCAGAAAATCCAGCGCTATGTATACCTTTGAATACGGGAAATGTATGTTTTGAATATCGCACGTGCAGAAATAGAAACTAGGAACCAGTCCAATGAATACAGAATATCAAATTGGTGATAGAAATGAATTCCATAACAAATTCGAAAAAGGGTTTGCTCATACATGGGTATATAAATTATATTTCGGACACCATGAGGTACAAATAAAGAAAACACCATTTCAATTTCTATCTTTTTATATATACAAGGGGAAATATGAATGTGAATATATATATATATATATATAAAAAAATCAAACCGATGGATAATAATGAAAGAGGAATTTGGTTCTGTGAGGGGAAAAGGCGGAATTAATGGAGTAGGCAGTCCAACATTGCACGTTGTAGTTGACACATGGTCCATCTTGCGAAAGGATAGACATGGAAACGTGATAACATTCCTATGGTCCTTATTTTAATTTTTTATTTTATTTAATTTCCGTGAAGAATCGGAACACGAGAAAATAATAATAATAATAATAATAATAATAATAATAATAAGTAGGGATTTTCCGTATTGAAATTACACTTATTGACGGTCCAAAATGATGTCCATCACTTGATACATATATCTTGATACATTCGTTTTTTGGGTTCTGTCCAAATAGTGCACGCTTGTCAAAAACGACGTCTCCACGCGTAAAAAAATGGGTACCCAAGTGTTTATATATATATATATATATAGTGTATTTTTTATGTTGATTTTCTTTAATTAAATAAAAAATGGTGGGTTTTTTTTCTTCCAATTCAACAAATATATGTTATATATAGAAACTAGCTTTCTGTTGATGAATCTTGATACAACTTCTTCAACTTTTCTTTATAAAGAAACTTCTCGCTTCATCAACACTATAAGCTCTTCTAAAGGCTAGTTTTTAATAACAATAATTATATCATTCATACAAAAAAAATTACATCATATGTGAGGGATATAAAGCGGGTCGGCGAGATGGTTCGACTCAACCTAACTCGACTCGTTTTGATTTAAAAAATATTTTAGTCCAGTCTAACTCAATTCATTTTTTACTGAGCTGAATTTTGATCACATCATCCCATATCGTCTTAACTCGCGAGTTAAACCAGTTGGCTCGCGAACTAAATATTTAATTTTTTAAAAATAAATATTAACAAATATTTAAAAATATTATAAATATGAAAAAATATTATAAATATTTTTTTTTTTGAAATTTTAAACAAAATAAAGTAAATATCTAATAAAAATATAATTATTATATAAAATATTTAAAATATATAAAAACATAATAAAAAATTTTAAAAAATATATTTTTTTCGAGGTCACGAGCCAACCTGTCGGCTCGCTACGAGTCCGACTCGTGATGAATTGGCTTGTTCGGTCTATATTTTTCTGTGCTAAAATATTTTGAACATGGTTCGAAAAATTATGAGTTGATTCGCGAGCCATCTCACGATTGGGACTCGTTTTACTCTCCTAATCATATGTTTTGTTATGTTAAGAGATGATGTATATCATATGGTTTGTTATGGTAAGAGATGAACTATATTAATAGCTTAACTTAATGAGACAAAATTACTTTTAAATTCAGATTTGAGTTTTTATTTTGAGAGATATTTATCTGTATTTTTCATTTTTTAAAAATATATAATTGGATCTAAGTTATGATAAATTTTTTTGTTATAAAAAAGGTATGAAATGATATAAATTTATAATATATGTACATATATATATTATAGTATTGTAGGGTATCATATATGAAAAAGGTCATAATCATATAGGAATCTTGGGATAGTGGATGATTGTATTATTGGTCCGTGAATGTGTGAAATTATTTTCACAATTTACAATCTTATTGCCACTTGTCCTTGTCCATACCTCTCCAATAATTTCAAAATTTATAATTATTTCTGTGTAATTTATAATTTATCCTTCATAATTAATCATCATTTATCTTTTTAATTTGTTAAACTTATAAATGGAATGCTATATTCGTACTCTAAGCTAAAAACATCTGCATATGAATTGCCTTTTTTTTTTACATTTTTTTAGAACCCACAGTTTGGATATATAAGGTTATTTTATAACATCACATTGTTTAAGAATCCACGGTCTTTATACTAATTTCACTCATAATACAATTGACAACCTCATAATCTATGTACTTTTTTTTTTAATTTGCTTTGTTAATAAAAAAACTATTATATTTTTATTAGTTTTAACTGTAAAAATCCTAAGTTTAGCCACACAAAGCGTAGAGCGAATATAAAACATATAAATATCTATGTTA